GACTTCCCCAACGATGTGGCTCGCGGCGAGATCCTCGTGACGGGCCTTCCCGCCACTGCGACCGACGAGAGAGTGCGGCAGTGGTTCGAGAGGCGGCTGGGAGAATAGGTCCATGAAGTCAGGAGACCGCATCCTGAAGACCTCACGTGAGCGTGCCTCTCATGCGCATCTACTCCCTTGAGTGACCGTGCTCTGCCCGCTTGGTGTGTGTGTGTGTGTGTGTTGATGCAGAGTTGCCCGGGTCGTCTTCTGCAACGAGGACGCCGCCGACCTCGCCGCACGTCTCGACGATTCGGTGAGCGCGGGTATTGTGGGCGGGTGGGTGTCACTAGTATGTATCATCACGCTTATTGTGTGTTGGTTGTGTAGTTCTTCGAGTGGTGCTACATTCGTGTCCGTGCAGCGCCCCTGCTGTGTGTGGGGGAGAAGCAGCGGTACCCGCGGCCGATGGAGGGCCTTCCCAACGTGGAGCAGCTGGCCACCGGGTTCAACCACACAATTGCCTTGGCTGATGGAGCTGTAAGCAAGCAAGAGATCAAAGACAAGTAGTGCCTGTAGTCACCTCTACTCACCAACTGACTGTTTTCCTGTTTGTGTATGGATGTATTGTGTCTCCCTCACGTCAAACAGGTGTATGTGTGGGGGGACAACACGTACGGCCAGCTGACCTTCCCGTCTGATGCCACCAGCGCCCTCCTCTGGCCGACAAACGAACGCCACTGAGGTTAGCCCGCCGAATTGACAGACTGTTCCCTCCCCTGCCTCCACATACGCCTTTGCTTGTGCGTGTGCGTGCGTGTGTGTGTGTGTGTGAAGCCTGGGCATCGAGGGCCGCATCGGCCGCATATGGGCGCATGGGAACGTGACCATCGTGGGCACCCTGTGCCTCAAGTACTACGGGTGAGTGATGGAGCCAGCCAGGTCGATCGCATGTATGGGCTTTGTGTGCTTCAGGTGTGGGTCAAATGCGTGTGGCGAGCTGGGCATTGGTGCGGCCGGCGGGCCCATCGGCCACATGACCGAGATAACGGCGCTCCGCGGGCTTGACGTGAGCAGTGACCGTCACGCATATGTCAACTCACGCACACACACATGCGGTTGTGTGGGGATTTGTGTGCGTATGTGTGTGCAGGTGGCCCAGCTCGTTGGCGGCACGTACCACACCACCGGCCTCCTGCGCAACGGCACCCTCATCACAATGGGAGATGGTGAGAGATGCATTCATTAATTAAGCACATCAATCTTTCCCCTTTTGGGGTTTGTGTGTGCAGCCGAGTGCACCGGACTCGGGAGGGCCACACGCAACCACCACGCAACGCTTCCATGGTCGATGGCTGTCAAGGTAAGCACATATGGGTGGAGGGATGGTCTACAGACTTACTTGTGGTCTGCCTGTCTACGGTCTACCTGTCTACCTACCCTAGGGCCTGAACTTCAAATCGCTGGGGGCGGGCGACGAGCACACCCTTGCCACCACAACAGCAGGGGACATTCTCACCTGGTGGGCACTCACTTGAGCAAAAGCATTGGTTCACCTCACCTGTGTACGTTCCGTTCGTGTATGTCACGGTGTCCGTCAGGGGCCGCGGTGCGAGTGGGCAGCTGGGCAATGTGGGCGGCCCCGACCAAGTCGAGGAGACGGACCCGCGCCTCATCCAGCTCAGCCCCCACTGCATGGAGTCAAAGCAGCTCAAGGACATGTTCGTCGTCAAGGTGACTTGCTCACTTAAGTACTTGAGCACAGCCCCCCATCTCATCTGGTGTCTGTCGGCTGGCGACGCTGCTCTGTGTGTGTGTACCCACCAGGGCGACGGCGGAGGGCAGCACTCTCTGGAGCTGGTGAGTGAGTGAGTGCCGCTGGCTGCTATCGAACATGCGCGTGTACTCAAGTGGGTGTGTTGGTGTGGTGGTCTGTCTGTCAGGCATGGTCGCCGGAGACAGGCGTGGCGACCCTGCCTCCTCCCCCTGGCGTAAGCGACCGTGCGTGCGATGCGATATCCGTAAAGGTGTCCCTTCATGGATGCGTCTGTCTGCCGTTGTGTTTGAAGGATTGGCGTGAGTTCCTGTCGTGGCGCCACAAGGAGGATCAGCGGATCCGGGTAGAGAGACAGGCTGAATTGCGCGAGACACACAATATGGTATGCAGGCACCCATCCATCCATCCATCCATCGTGTGCCTGCCTGTGTGTGTGCTTCCTTTCGTCTAGGCCAGAGAGGACCACGACGCTCCCACCCGCCTGGCGCTGCCTGTGGTTCTCGTCAGCCCCGCTGTGGCAGCAAAACTCCAGGAAGATCCAGATCTGCTCGGTGAGTGCCCTGACAGAACCACCTCACCTTGCTTGTGATTCATCCATCCATTGCTGCGCAGGTAACGTCCGGTGGCTGTTGTCCTATGACGACAGATGTGGCTCGGACCTCCGGGACGACCTCATGAGCGATGGCAGGCTGTGGATTCGGCGTGCCGAGGGCTGCGCTGAGCACTTCGCCCACTGGAAGGGCATGACGCTCAAAGACGTTGTGACAAGAATAGTGGTAAGAAAAGGGAGCAAAGCGCACGCACAGCTTGTTGTCGGATGTTCGGGATGGGAGTGCAGAGGTTCTTTCTCGAGCATGGCGGCGTGCCTGATGGCCTGAGGGTGCTGTTGCCGCACCCACCTGACCACACACTCATCGCCAGCAGCGAATCCGACACGTAAGTGTGTGTGTGTGTGTATGTGTGTGTGTATGTGTGTGTGTATGTGTGTGTGTGTGCATCTACAGGCCGTTCGGTTCACGTCATGTTTTGCGAGTCATCTGTGGTGCGGATGCGGCATCCATCACTGCTGAGTGGCTTCGGCTGGGCGAGAAAACTGCCGGGTGTAGCCACGTTAGCCTCGACAGCTGGCTGCTGGACAAGTACCCTGATTGCATCGGTGGGCACATGCCGACACCTCTTGTCTGTGGACGGGTGGATGGACTGCGTCGTGTGTGCTGTGTTGTGTGGTGTGGCGTGTGGAAGAGCTGCTGGCTGAGAGGGGTGGATCACTGCGTTCGGCTGCAGACGGGCTGATAGTGAACGTCAGGGACGTTATGGAAAACATCACCAAGCCACAGGCAGCCTCATGTGTATCCACGGCGATGCAGCTGGCCCATGCAGGCGTTGGGTCCCCGGATGGCCACATAGGAGACATGGAAATGCGAATCGACAGGCAGGCAGACGGAGGGAGGGAGGGAGGGAGATCATCACGCATCACATGGCTGCGCTGCCCTCATCGATCGAATCAGGTTTGTTGATGCCGTGTGGCCGACGTCGTTCGTTCTCCTCGCATTTGGTAAGTAAGATGTCGCATCGCTCAGAGAGGCCGCCGTTGACCTACATTACACCCACAGAGAGGTCGCCGATTGAGCAGCCGGACAGCCCTGCACAAGTAGTAGAAGACAGAGTCAGGTACGTACGGAACAGAGGCACCTGCCTCCGACCGACCTGCATGGCATGCGTGTCCAGGCGTTACGCACTCGCGCTGGCGCTTCGATGTCCGCACCTGACGGTCCTCCTGCTGCCGTGTCCGTCATCTGAGAACGTCAACGCAGCCATTGCCAGGTTCTAACGAAGACAGCAGAAAGACAACAACGAGTAAGCCAAGCTTGTCTTCACTCAATAAGAACTTCGGAAGGCTTGTGCATTGTCTGAGTGTGTGGCGGCCAGGTATGTGTGTCGCGTGTATTGGGCGTGTGGCACTGCCAGCGACGCGCTGCTGCTGAGCCTGGCTCGCTCAGCAAGACCAACAGCAGCTCAAATCTTCCTTCTTTGGACACTGCAGCAGGTACACACACACACACACACACTCACAAGCTCTTTCCATCTCTTTCCATCTTGCTTGTCAGGCCAGGGATGCTTTGGAAGTAGTCGACATCAACCGGCTGCGAGATGCCCTCTGCGGCCACATCAAAGCACGGGTGAGCATGGCCCAAGGGCAGGAAGGAGGACAAGGACCATGACATTATCTGCTTGTCGCTCAGGTGAGTTCGTTTAGTGTGGATCCGTGCCAATTTGACACTGGCCAATGTGTTGGAGACCTCTGCATCATCTGGGCGTGGGCCAGCTCGAAGGCGATACCACTGCCGGCTGGTGGTGTCTTGCCCATGCGCGTTGGGAAGAGACTCGACGCCGTCACGAGGGCGTATTTCAGCCACCTGTGCGAACAGGTAAGAGGCAATGACGGAGAAACACGTGGCCCCTGTTCTCTCTTTCGTGATGTCTTCAGGGTGGTGATACCCGTCCGTGTCTGTTCACCCGGCGTGACATCAACTGCAAGGCGCTGGCAGATCTGATCAACACCATCACGCCGGCGGCCAAGCGCAACACCACTACCAGCACTGAAACTACAAACCAACAGAGTGGGCACCGCACCGCGTCCACCCACACGCATGAACGCGCACCTTATGCCAACGCCCATGTGTGCTGTCGTCATTCGTGTTTGCAGTTTGCTCGTACGTCGACGCACTGAAGGCGTTGGCCGCCTTCTACCACGGCAAACGGTCGCATCCCCCGCCAGCGTATCCCTTCGGTTCCCCGCCCGACGTCCACAGCATCACACAAGCACTTGACCTTGGAAAGGTGCCGTCCGGCGTCAGCGGTGCCTTCAGCAGCCACCGCAGCGGATATGAGATGGATGTCGTCGTGTCGGCGTTGCATCCCCAGGCTGATGACCTGCGGCAGTCTTCACAACAGGTACTTGACACTTGACACATGTCGTGCTGCACGACCTTTGTCTGCTGTGTTGATTTGTTGCCGCTACAGCAGGCGGTAGAGTTGCGTGCAGCTTCGCACTGCCTCCACGGCAGAATCGAGAAGCGTCGAGTGGAAAGCAATGCTGCAGCTGATGGTGAGCAGGCAGAGAAGCGTTGGTGGTGCACCATGCGGGACGCATTTGTGGCTCTCTCAGATGAGGTCGGTGTCGTTCACGGCCACTTCACCTGCCAGAAGCCCACCCGCCCACCTCCCGCCCCGCTGTTCCTCTTCGGTGGTGCGCCATCGACACCATCGCCATCGGCTGATGAGACGCCGTCACCAGCCGCAGTAGCATCATCGCCCTCCCGTAGGCGGCGTGGGAGAGGGAGAGGGGCGGGGCCAGAGCAGACCTTTGGACGGGGGCTGACTGCCCCATCGTTTGAAACCTCACCGCCCGACGGTATGCACGTACGCCGACACAAAGGCAGGAAGGAATGCTCGGTTGTGCTGTTGGTTGATGTGCAGAACCAGCCGGCAAGAGGAGCAGACGGCCAGAGAGACGGGGGGAGTGAGGTGACGTGAGGTGAGGTGTGCAGAATTCCAAGCTTCGTTGGTGCTTTGCTTGCTGGTCTGTTTGTCTGTCTGTCTGTCTGTCTGTCTGCTGGACTTGATGCCGTCTGTCCCTGTGTTGATTGGGTGTGACCGAGCGCACCTGGTACATCCCTGTATGTGTGTGTGACTCAAATGAATTTCGTCCTAACTTGAGTGAGTTAGCAGTCTAGTTGAGTTCGTGAGATGCCGTCCGTGAGTTTGTGGTGACCGACCTGAGCTGATCTGCACTGCACTGCACTGCACCGGACTCCATCCACACGGCAATCAATGCTAGGTAGCTTAGCGTACATGTGTGTTTCAGAGAGAGAGCTCTCACTGCTCGCCTGCAGACAGACGGACGGAAGCATCACGAGACATCTGGCAGTTCACTGTTCCTGCGTCACCTACCTGATACTTCCAATGCCGTCGTATCGGCCGCGTCTTTGAGCTCAGCGGGTCTCTTTGTTTGCTCGTGTGGCGAGCGATGCCTTCTTCACAGGCTGCCATGCATGTGTCTGAATGGTTTACCTGGCGATGTGTGGTGTAGCCGCATGTGTGTGTGAACAAGGCCTGAATGACAGACAGACTTGCTATGCTGCGTGCCCCTTCATTCAATGCGATTGATGGCATGCATTTGAAGATTCACTGGATCAATGGGCAGAAACTGCGGTCGTCTCCAGCCAACCTCAAAGCATCATCAGCTGTACATTTCATGTTCTTTCTACTCACATCCTTCACGCGACAAGAAAACACCTGAGGCAATGCGAGCAGGCAGACAAGAGACCGGCATGCAGGCAGGCATGCGACCCTCTGAGCGACCCTATCGACACCCACTCCCCCTCTGCAGCATGCCTGCCTGGTCCCTCGATGGGATTGCTACAGGTATCCCTACAGCTATGGCTACGTCATATCTCGTCCGGTCAGTTCTGCATCTTGGCGCTGCTGCTGTCGGCCGACCGCTGGTGCGTCTTGAGCAGCACCTCCAGCTCGGCCACGTCACTGTCCTCCAGCAGACACTTGTCGTACACACTCTCCACCGACATCTACACAACCACATCCATGCGTCGAGGTGGCGTGTGTGTGTGGATATCTACCGTGTAGCCCTCTTTCTTGGCGATTTTGGCCAGGAGCCTCTTCATGTTGTCCCACAGCACACGCAGCTGCGAGTCGGCCGCTATGGCGCTCTCGTCGGCCAACTCGCGGGGCTGCACACATACACATACACACATGGAGCCAACGACATTTATGCTGTCTGTCTGTCTGCGTGTCTGCCTGTGAGCCCTCTCGCCCACCCAAAGGTCGAGTTTGTTGGCAGGCGTCTTGATATGTGTGTCGTTGCGTGCGATGCGGATGGCACAGTGGGCGCACATGGTGGCCAGCTGGGCGGGAGACAGCGACACGAACACATGATAACCGAACGACAAATACTGAACACACACACACGCACAAACACACACGCGCGTCGATAGAAACACCACACCCAGGTCTATGTGTCGACATACATACCATAAGTATGGTGGCCTTCTGAATCACGTATTCCTTGACGCTCTCATCGCCCCACTGCACCGCACGGCCATACCGACGCAGCGCGCGGAACGGCGAGGGGTAGTACACGGCGAAGTCGAGCACCCGCAGCACGTCGCTCTGGACGGCCTTGAGGGTGGCCACGGGGGCTGGCTGGTCGCCGTCGTCAAGGATGATGTCTTGCTTGCCTGCAAAGCCGCTCTGGAAGCCCTCGCACTCCTCGTCGATATCGTCGATGCAGTGGTCGTTCATGTAGGCCAAACTCAGACACACGACACCCGTCTGAATGAATGAAAGGAGGAATGTACCCAATGCATTGGGGGGGGGGTCACCGAAGGGGAGTGAGTGAGTGTGTGTGTGTGTGTGTGCCTACCACCAGGTATTGGTATCTGGTGAGGGGTTTGATGCCCTTGCCGGCCACGAGCTGCTCCTGGTACCGCCAATACACATAACGGTCCACCTGACAACACCACACCACAGCACAGCACCACCCATCCCAAATTCCTCTCGCCCATCCCCCACCCACCGGCCCACCATATTGATGGCCGTGGCGATGCCGTCCTCGCCAAGCGACAGGTCGTTCTCACCCCCATCGTCGTCATCCTCATCCTCATCTTCATCGTCGACACACGCCGTGACGTCGTTCCAGCACACAAACCGGTCCCACAGCCTGGCGCGCAGGGCCGGCAGCTGGATGTCGCCGCCGCCGTCACCACCGCCATCGCCAGTCAGGAGCTGCTGGCTGTGGGTGGCGAAGAAGTCGCTGTCTGGCAGGGTGAATCTGCGGTGCTTGTCGTGCTGCAGATGCATGCAAAATACGAGAGAGATTCCAACAGGGAGGCGCGGCTGGCATTTGGTGTGGCTTGGCAGACGGACGTACTTCGATAGTCCTGAGGTGCTGTGGTCTGTAGTTGTCAGGTCGGTTGAGTCGGGTCGACGGCTGCCGCCCCTCCATGTACGAGGCGTACTGGTACACTTGCAGACCCAACACACGCTCGAAGAAGGGGTGCCGCAGGGCAGCGGGACCCGTGATGCGCTGCGTGGGGTTCACCTTGAGCAGGCTGACACAACAACACACACACGAAAGAAGGAGGGTGCAGACAGACAGACAGACAGACACACAGACAGACTCACGTAGAGTACCTTTCCAGTAGGTCGATGGCAAGGGCTTCTGTTTCGGCGTCCATGTCTTGTCGAGGCGGGTCTGCACTCTTGAGCATGTCCTTCAGGGTGCAGCCGTCCTGCGGCTCCTCACCGCCGTCGAACCCCTCCATCATCTGCCCGCCCATTCACGTCAGTCAGGCCTGTGTGTGCAACATAACATACACACCTGTTCGTAGTTGTCGAGTCTCTCCACGCCCTTCCAGGTGCGATTCGTCGGCTTGCCTACACAAAGACACACACCGGATGGCATTGCACGCGCCGCACCGTTGCCACCCCAACCGGCGAATGGGTGGGTATCCGTTGGTCTCTTCTGTTTGGTTACCCACCGAATGCTCTTGCGATTTCCACGAGTGTCTCGCGCTCCTCATCCAACCGCAGCACCTCTGGATGCTCCCCAGCAAACAGCAGACGGCCAGTCAGCAGCTCGCCGAAGATGCACCCCACCGCCCAGATGTCCACCTGTCGCATGCCATGGGCACACGCAAAGACACGCAAAGACAGCCGGATGTGACGTGCACTGCACGGGATGCGATGCGATGCGTACGGCACTGAAGTAGTCTCGCTGGCCCAGGATGATCTCTGTCAGATCAGACACACAAAAGGATCGAAAAAGGGGAAGGGACTTTCGTACAAGACAAGTGGTAGAGAGAGAGAGGGGGGCCCCCATGATCTGTCTGTCTGCCTGTGTGACCTGGTGGGCAGTAAATCTTGGTGCCGACGCCTCGCGGGCTGCGCGACACGTAGGGAGTGGCGGGGGTCGCCTGGGCCATCCTATACATAACACACACATCCACAGAGAGAAAGCGGTTCAGACAGACGTGGACGAATGTAACTGTGGGGGCGTCCATTCGCGAGGCTCACCCGAAGTCGCAGATCCTGACGTAGTGGACGTCCTTTGGCCGTCCGTGTTGGTTCAGCTTCAGCAGAATGTTGGATGGCTTCAAATCACAATGCATCACTGCACGAGAGCAACAGAATGACGAGAGCAATAAAGAAGCGCCACATGTGGCAGCAAGTGATCATTACCCACCCTGCTTGCCGCCAGGACCGCCCGTGTGCATGTGAGTCACGCCCTTGACACACAGACACAGGTAGGGAGAAGAAAGAGAGACCGTCAGAAGCACATGGTGTGACCCCGCTCGTCACTCCATCAGTCAGTCAGTCAGTCGTCCCTACCAGTAGGATTTGGTATAGGATCTCAGCGACCATCTTGATCTGCATCTGGTCACTCAGCGACCGGTGGTACTGGCTCAGGTTCTCATCACCCAACTCCTGACAACACAAACAACACACACAGCGTCGCATGTGTGTGTCAGCCGCCAGCCCATTCCACATCGCTCACGAGTATGAGGTAGCTCGTGTTGGTGTTGGGGTCGACGTAGGCGGCGTGCAGCTTGGTGATGGAGGGATGTCGGGCGGCACGCAGCGTCGCCGCCTCCAGGTACGTATCCGACGACAGATGATTCACACGACTGGGGTAGCGCGACTCCGGGTCGACAGTCGATATCTACACACACACACACACACACACACACAGGCACACACACATGTATCCCACAGCCACTGCATCCGCATCAGGGCCTTCCTCCCTCCCTCCCCCTTGCGCACCTTCTTGATGGCGTAGCACCCTCCCTCCAGCTTGAGCCCAGGTTCCACCGCCAGCTTGGCGGCGACGTCATCGGTGACCACACACCTGTACACCTCACCGAATGAGCCCCCGCCCAGCCGCTCCGGCTGCAGCTCATGCGTGTCGAGCCCCAGATCTAGCAGAGATCTGCCGCCGGCCGTCATCTGCCGGAGTCTGCCGGTGATCGGGATGATGAGCTTGGAGAGGAAGGGGTCTGATGCCACCTCGTAGTCCATGGCTGGCAGAACCTGCAGCCAGCAGGACCAACAGACAGAAGGGCAAAGGACGCATTCGGTGAGGATCAATTGCCAATGGTGGGTGGATGGATGAATGTTTTTGCTTTCTTGTCGCTGCACCTCCTCGCCGTCGGAGCGCCATTGCGAGCTTAGATCTTGGAGGGAAAGTGAAGTGGAGAGGCGTTCATCTTCGTGCTCATCGATCATGTTCAAGAAGCCCGTGACGCTGTCTGCTCGTACGTCGCTGAGCAACAAAGAGAAGAAGAAGCTGCGTGCGGCGCTCAAGGAGAGGTTCCCGAGCCTGACGGACGTAGATGCGGACCTGCTGGTGCCCGACGGCGACGAGGTGCAGACATGCAAGGTGCAGGCCACGCGCATCGTCCTCTACTTCAGACACAAGGATCCTGTCATCGTCAACAACGACGGCTCGTTCTTCCCCACTGTCTACGGCCTATGGCTGGTGAGGCAGCCATATTGATGGCCGCACACACGACACATTGAGGATTGGCATCTGTGTGTCTGTGTGTCAGGTGCCGAGGATGCTTCCGTGTTTCTTGGTGTATGCTCCCGTGTCCAAGTTCCTCATGGGCGGCGCAGACCTCATGCTGCCGGGCGTACTGCCGCCCAAGCGATGGCCGCAATTCCAAAAGGGAGAGCTATGGGCCGTCAGGTCGGTCAGTCAGTCAAGGAAGGAAGGACCACAATCACCACTCACGGCCGCAATGAATGACCCTCTCTTTCGTTGTGTTTTGATGTGTGTCTGACAGGGTGATCGAGAATCAGTACCCCATAGCCGTCGGCAAGACGATGGTCAGCAACAAGGACATCTACTACCAGGGCATGCGGGGCCGCGGCCTCGAGCTCTACCACTCGTTCACCGACCACCTGTGGGAGCTCGGCAGCAGGTCCACACCCAACGCCAGCTTCACAGCGGCCGGCGTGACAGGCAGCGGCGACCCAGAAGAGACGGAGCTGGGCGAGCCCCCGGAGAAGTTCCCTGCGCTGCCGATAGCTTCCAAGGGAGAAGACGAACAGGCGGCAGGTGGCAGCGAGCGTGGCGATGAGGACGTGACCAACGGTGGGGTCAAGGAAAACGAGGAAGAGCAGGAGGGAGAGGGAGAGGGAGATGAAGGGGATCGCGACAACGATGACCGCTGCGACGAGAGGGAAGAGGAAGAACACGAGGAGCAGGAAGAGGCCCAACCATCGTCATCATCAGCATTCGACAACTCGGCGGCTGCAGCCGCTGGTGCTGAGGATGAGTCCCCAGTCACCGGTCCGCCCCCCGTGACCCTCACCCCCGACCAGATGGATGTCTATCTGCATCACTGCCTGCTGGAGGTGCTCAAGACGTCCGTGCAGGAGAGCCAGCTGCCCCTCGATGCAAGCGCCATCTACAGCCTCATGCTCGCCGCCGCCGACCGAGTGGCGCGACACAAGGTGCTCATCGAGGCGCTCGAGAAGACTGGCATCGCCGACGAGGCCGTCAAGGCCTTCCTCCTTGCCCCCCCGCCCCTGGACGTCAAGCGGTCCTCTCACAAGAAGGTGCCCAAGCTGTTCACCCATGCGGCCAAGGCCAAGCTGCTCACCACCAAGGAGCAGCGCGGCAACCAGATCATCACCGGCATCAACAAGCAGCACCCCCAGGTCACCGCATACACACCAGCCCCCGAGCGACCCAAACCATCAGCAGCCGCAGCCGCCAGCAGCTCATCTTCATCTCAGCAACAGCAGGGCCCCAGCAGCAGCAGCGCCGGCAATGCGAATACCACCGGCGATATGGTGCAGGTGTTGGAGTTCTACAAGCCCGGTCAGCGTGTGCAGCCGGTGTTTGCGGCGGCGGGCATCAAGACGGGCAAGGAGCGTTTCTTCACCATCCAGGAGTGCCGCGAGGCCGTCAACAAGTACGTCAGCGAGCGCCTGCCGGCGGAGGGCGACAAGGGCAAGAGTGTGGTGCTGGACGCAATCCTGGCGTCAGCGGCTGGCATGAAGGGTCAGGACGGCACCGAGGTGGCCAAGGCCGAGCTGTGGAAGAAGGTGCAGAACAACCTCGACGACTACTTCTGTGTCGTACACCCGGGCAAAGACCATGCAGGTCAGTCAACACAACACACGAGTTCACACTTTTGCCTCTAATGTGTCCATTCTCTCTCTCTCTCTCTGTGCGTGTGTGGTGTGCAGTTGACCCAGTGAGTATCAAGAAGGGTCCGATAAGCAAGATAGAGGTGTCTGTTGAGGACCGGTCTGGCGGCCGCAAGCACACGACCCACGTCCTGCACCTGGCCACCTACCACTTGGACGAGCAGGCCGTGGCTGAGTATCTGTCCAGGAAGCTGGCCTGCAGCAGCAGCACATACGAGCTGCCCGGCAAGGGCGACAAGGGCGGCACTGCCGTCATGGTGCAGGGCAGCGCGGCCAAGCAGGTGGCGGAGCTGCTCACCACCGAGTTCAAGGTGCCCCGCAAGTACATCGAGACCAAAGACAAGACCAAACCCAAGAAGTGACTGACGCGACGCATCACATCGCATGGGTATGTGGGTGGCTTGATGGTATGGTAGGATAGGCATACGGACGTTTCTATTTTATGGTAGTGTGGTCAGTCTAGTGTCCACTGTTGACTATGTAAGTGAGTGAGCCTCCCTCGGACGGAGTTGTCTAGAGGCCTCGGCGTTCTAAGTGGTTGACAGACAAGCATGCATTGAGATTAATGTCTGGTACGATAAGCTGAGAGACCTTGTAAGCTGTACCTGCATTCTCCACACCTCACCTGCCGCCCCTGGAATGAATGCGAGCTGAGATCCGAAGGAGATCGCGTGCAGATCTGGCAAGCGAAGACAGGTGACCGAAGGCGGGTGAGAATGCACCACCCAAGCAGATCCGGATGATATCAGTTGAAATGGATTCATCGCCGTTGCTATTTGTCCCATCTCATTGATTCGTCAGGCGAGATGATGCTATTGGGCTCCCCCCGCGGCCTCCGCGTCATGACTCTGGAGGAGGCCGGTGATCAGCTCATCCAGGCGGAGAAGATGGCCAAGCGCACCGTCATCTATGCCCTCACGGCGATTAACTGCCTGCTGGGCCTGCTGGGCCTGATGGTCCTCGTTCTCGCCAGCAGCCACATCAACCGCGAGCACCTAGCCACTCAGGAGACGACCATCAAGACCCTGCAGCAGCAGATTGTGAACAAGGACGCACTGATTGGTGAGGCAGAGGCGGCAAACGTGCTGCTGGTGGAGCAGCTGGCGACAGCCGCCGCGGATCTGCAGAACAAGACCGCCGCCATCACGGCCTTTCACGAGCAGGTGGAACGACTCACGGAGGATCTTGACAACACGACAGAGGCACTGCAGCAGAGGGACGAGGCCATTCTGGCTCTCGAGGAGCAATTCCAGGCCACTGAGAGAGCCCTCGCCCGAGCGAATGGACTTCTGGACAAGGGGCGCGGGGCACTCAACCGCATCTTCTGGATCACAGCCGGTGCTCTCTCCCTCACCGTCTGCTGCTGGGCAGGAGGCGTGATGGCCACCTGGCTGCATGAGAAGACGAGAGAAGAGAAAGAAACTTCCATTAACCGTAACACCCTGCATGAGAAGACTGCTTCAGCAAAGGGAGGGAGGTGTAACGTGACGCCGAGGGACCTCTGCCTCAGGTGGCCTGCAAGAGAGAGGAGAGGGGCGATTGTGACTGGACTTGGCTGCACATATGTGGGGTGGGTAATGTAAGGCGTTTGTGTGATTGTGAATGGCCGGCCAAAGCGGCTGTGAGGGAGGGACTCACTTGGCTGACTGACTGGATTAGCCTGACCTGTGGTGTTCGTCTGGCCTTGGGTGACTGACTGGCCGGGGAGATCAGATCGGGGAGGGGCATGGGCAGGGGCAGGGGCATTTGTGTGCAGCACGCACAGCTTGTGTGACTGCTGCGCTGCTCTACTGACTGACTACTGTGTCACCTGGGAAAGGGTCCAGACACGTTCATCATATCAGACGGAGTTCACTTGAGTCAATCGTGTGCATTTAATCAACGCACATCCCTCTGACTGTCGATCTCACGCACCGCCATTTAAAGCTCATGCATTGGTCCCTTCAGACATGCAACGCCGTCAGATCCCTCAATCCATCCATCCCTGTGTAAGTGCACACGCGCACATGGAACACGGGAGACATTGCAAAAGGGACGTCAAGATATAAAATGTAGGCACCGATTGCCTGTCCTCCCGCCGTGCCAGCACTCACTGGCTCCGGCCACTCATCATCAGGCATCTCATCGTCCCCCCACTGATGAGCTGAGCCGGCAATAAAGGCAGATAGACACTCACAGGAAAAATCCCCCCCCCCCGCCCCCTGGCCCGCTCCTCAGTTGTTCGACTTGACGTGTGCACGCCATTCTTCACACATTCAGACAAATGCACCCACCGATTTGCAGGCAATGGACCGAAATGCTAGACAAATGTTCTCCCATGTGTGGCTGTTCGGCACCACAGTTGTGCATCGGTAATCATGCAAGGGGAGGCTGGATCAGGCAACAAAAGGGAAAAGGCACAGCCGGGCGACCAAGATTGGTGGCATCCAAAAAAGGCCAAAACATGGCCAAAACGGAGTCAGTGTCTGTTGACGGTGACCCTGGCTCGATGGACGGCCCCCCGACACACAGACACGGCATTAGGGGTGTTTGCACGTCAGGCCTTCTCGCGTCAAGTCATCTCGACGCCCCCCCAAGCGTCGAGATGACTTGACACGCTGAAGCCTGAATGCAACGCCGCCCGACATGCAAACGACCCCTCGCCCATCCAGGCATTCCATCGAGAAAAGCTCAAGTACACGCGTCACACCATCAGGGATTGCCGGCCACTCACAGACAGCACACAGAGGTCACGGATGTCGATGTCTGTCTTGTGTGTCCTCTAAAAGGGGGATGGGCCACCGCGTCCTGTGGACACACACACACACACACACACACAGAGAGAGAGAGAGAGAGCAAGGCTGTGTTTGGTTTCTGCCCTGGATGTGTGTGCGTGTTCGCGACTTGGTGCGCTTGTCATTCACCTCACCTCGTGGCGTGGGCAGCCCCCGCCCCCTCGGACCTCCACGTGCCGCCGCCATCCATCATATAATATATGACATCCAAGAGGGTACGAAACGGCCGGCCAGCCAGGCGAACGAACACAAAAGGAAAAATGTGCAGACAGAGACAGAGAGAGAGAGAGAGAGAGAGACAGGAAGGCAGACAGACAGCTGGATGGACACACCGAGATAGACACACCAAGCACCTCAGTCGGTCAGTCAGTCGATTGATTCAGTCATCGACTCAATGAATGCAGCCAGTGTCTACGGTGGTGTGGTGTGTGTGAACAGTTCGGTCATGGCTGCACAGTAAGTACTGTGTGTGGAAGTAAGTCATGTGCACGTGCATGTGATTGTGTGGTGTGGTGCATGGCAATAGGGCTGACCAGCCGTGTGCGCTGCACTGCAAATCGGTCGCCGGCCCTCCGCCAGGACTCCTCAGCCTTCAGCAGCTTCCCTGCAAGGAAAGCATTCAGAGGCACATGAACGATGACCCCTTCCATCACATCATCGTGGCGGCGTACCTCCCAAGTAGTGGTGGTTCTCCAGAAGCTTGAGCAGGTCCATCTCGAGGCTCCGGCGCGTCATGCGGCTGAGCACTGCAGTCAGTCATCACAGACGGCAAGAGAGGACACACAATGACGGAGAAGAAACGAGCATGCAGTGAGAACGGCCTTTCGGCGCCCCGCCCTCCCTCTTGCCCCGTCTGTCCGTCCGTCTAGTGTCTGTCTGTTTACTGGCTGGCTGCATGGCTATCCATGTGTCCTCCTTACACTGCCGCAGACGCGCCATCCTGTCTTTCCTCGCCGTCGGCCACTGCCCGAACTTTCGAGCGTCTCTAAACAGGTAGGCCTGCTGGGTACCGGTCGCCATGGCTTTTGGGTGCTGCTCGGAAAAAGCGATGTTGGGTGCTGCTCGGAGGTGCCCGTCCGCGGATACTCCTCAGCCATGACCACCCTCTCTACAAGGAAAGCATTCAGAGGCGCATGAACGATGACCCCTTCCATCACATCATCGTGGCGGCGTACCGCAAAGGTATTGGTGGTTCTCCAGAAGCTTGAGCAGGTCCACCTCAAGGTCCGGGCGCGTCATGCGGTCGAGCACTGCAGTCAGTCATCACAGAAACCAAGAGAGGACACACAATGACGGAGAACAAACGAGGATGCAGTGAGAACGGCCTTTCGGCGCCGCGCCCTCCCTCTTGCCCCGTCTATCCGTCTGTCCGTCCGTCTAGTGTCTGTCTGTGTACTGGCTGGCTGCATGGCTATCCATGTGTCCTCCTTACACTGCCGCAGACGCGCCATCCTGTCGTCCCTCGCCGTCGGCCACTGGCCGAAGTTGCAGGCCTCCCTAAACAGGTAGACCTCCTGGGTGTCGGTCGCCATGCTGATGGTGCTGCTCGGGCCGACCCGCCGACAAGACCACCAAACGGCTCGCGTCCGTCACAGACGCGATCGAGTCGTCATATCCTGGGTTGGGTTCGTAGTCGTCATATCCTGGTGGCGGAGGCACATGCGAGGGCTGCATGGTTGCGATCCGCCCGAGGCTCACTCACTCAGTCAGGTACAACACCGCTGCAAAGCACCGACAGACACACAAACACCTGTGAGACATAATATGGCGGTTTGTGCCCTCGCTGACCCGCTGCTAAGCAGCGCAACCGTGCACACAGGCGCTCACCTATCTGCTGCAGTTATGCTATCCTCGATAAGAGTGGCACGAAGACTGACAGCCACTCGCGCGTCAGCACTTGCTCACCCGCAGCTCGCTGGCGGTGCTCTCTCAAAGAACCAGGTATCTGACGAAGTATCTGAGGCGTGTGAAGGACAGAGAAAGTGGGTTGTTTCCGTGTCTGTCATCTCTTTGTGCATCCACCAAAGTGTGTGTGCTGTACCTCTCACCAGAGTGTCCAGGCCGGCGGATGGGGTGGGTGACGTGAGCAGGGGCAGCTGTGGCGTGAGAGGGACACGTGGTATGAATCCTTCACAATATAAAATGTGGACAGCGATTGGAAGCGCCTCTCCTTCTCCAAAAGGGACGTCAAGATATAAAACGTAGGCACCGATGCCGACACACCCGCCGCTGGGGGTTCTGCAGCTCGGCACGCACTTGCTGACGCACTTGCTGCAGCCGGTCCCGCACCGGGTGCTGGTAGTGCTGGGGTGAGGGGGAGGGCAGCAGCTGTGGCGGGGGTGGGAAGTTGGGCGGCCAATATCCGCTCATGGCGAAGTTGGGCGGATGGTGGAAACACGGACTGGTACACAGACAGACAGACAGACAGACAGAGATGTAGGGGCATGAACGACAGACAGCCCAGCTTGTGGTGTCTGTCGTGAGTGTCAATCAGTAACCCACCCCTGTGGCGGCATTCTGTGGGCGTTATGGTCAAACGGAGGCCGCGACGGCGGGGCGGCGGGTGGGGTCGGGTCGGGAGGGAGTATGTGTGCGGGGCGGGGATATGGGGGTGAGTGGTGGGGAGGGAGTATGGGGCTGGGGACGGGGTGTGGGTGGGGGTGTGGGTAGTGGGGAGGGAGGGGAGGGACGGCGGCAGCAGGGGGCTGCTGGACAGGGGCGGCTGGGGGGACCTGAGCGGCCATCATCCATGCCGTATGGTGCGCATGTGTTTCTGCGATCGCTTGTGTCTTTGCGTGTGCAAATCCATACCGACTGTAGATCAGACGTGCTGGTCGCCCATGCTTCCGTGTAAACGATTCCATCACCTGAGCGGCCTGACGACAGACAACACACAGACAGACATCGAATGACAATGACTGCGTCAATCACAGTAAGTGCCTGCCGATCCCTCCCGCCCTGCACACATGGTGCAGCCATGCCTACCTGCTGCTGCTGCTGCTGCCGGGCGCGCAGCTCCTCCAGCTGACGGCGCAGCTCCTGCACCTCCCTCTCGGCCGCCAGCTGCACAAGCCAGACAGAGAAGGCATCGAACACCAGGATACACACACATCCACTGATCAGCGTGTCTGTGGATGTCAGTCAGTAAGTCCCGGATAGATAGGGCTGACCAGCTTCTCGCGCTGCTCCTCAAATGGGCGGCCGCTCCTGCGATGGTACACCTCAGCCATGACCGCCCTCTCTACAAGGAAAGCATTCAGAGGCACATGAACGATGACCACTTTCATCACATCATCGTGGCGGCGTACCGCAAAGGTAGTGGTGGTTCTCCAGAAGCTTGAGCAGGTCCATCTCGAGGCTCCGGCGCGTCATGCGGCTGAGCACTGCAGTCAGTCATCACAGACGGCAAGAGAGGACACACAATGACGGAGAAGAAACGAGCATGCAGTGAGAACGGCCTTTCGGCGCCCCGCCCTCCCTCTTGCCCCGTCTGTCCGTCTGTCCGTCTGTCTGTCTGTCTGTGTGCTGGCTGGCTGCATGGCTATCCATGTGTCCTCCTTACAGTGCCGCAGACGCGCCATCCTGCCTTTCCTCGCCGTCGGCCACTGCCCGAACTTCCGAGCGTCTCTAAACAGGTAGGCCTGCTGGGTACCGGTCGCCATGGCTGTTGGGTGCTGCTCAGCGATGGCCTTTTTACTTCTTGTCTGGAGGCCTCTGAGTAACACGGACAGACCAGCACAAGGAGAGAGGGGGAGAGGGGATATGGCAATCACCGAAATGAATGGATTGAGAGGGGGATGTGATGGGTGGCTTACCACGATCAGTCTGTGTCTGCGCAGGCGGGGCAGGGGGGGCTGTGCTGCTGCGGCGACCTGGTTGGCCTGACGACAGACAACACACAGACATCGAGGGACGGCCGTGTCTCTCATCTCTTGGTGCAACCATGCGTGTGTGCTGCACCTCTCACCCAAGTGTCTCAGCGGCCGCGGGGTGTCTTCCTCGTCCTACTGACGGCTGGTCAGCCGCTTGGATGGGGTGGGTGACGTGAGCAGGGGCAGCTGTGGCGTGAGAGGGACACGTACTAATCCTTCACAATATAAAATGTGGACAGCGATTCTCTGGCGGGGAAGCGCCTCTCCTTCTTGCCACTGGGGGCGGGTGCCGATGGGCGTGTGAGGGGTCTCACTGCCAAGAGGGGGGAAGAGGATGCTTGTGTCCTTGCCTTTGTCTTTGCCGACGGCTGATTGGGGGTGGTGTCGGGGTGAGAGGCGCTCCGGCACTGGTCCCTGCCCGCTGTCTTCCTCACACGTAAGAGCGAACACCTGCCGGCGGATCTCGTTGAGCACCTGCCCCATCAGCGCCACCTGAACCCCCGGCACCGCCACCTTTGCCCTTGATCGACACAACACACCCGTCTGCACCGCCGTTGCCGCCGCACCCTCCCTCTTGACCTCTTGCTCGCCGGCCTTCTGCTGCTTGGGGGGCCGCTTGTGCTCCATGTCCGCCTCACGCACACATCCCTCACAGGCCCC